ACTCGAAGAAAAAAATTATGTCGTACTTTGTTTTCTTCGCGACTTGCCGATTTTCTTGCTTTTGACCCACGACGAATTCGTTGATGCTTTCCACTGAAAGAAGTTTCGCCTCAAGACTGTTTGCTTATTCCGAAGGTTAGTTATCGGACAATTCATCCAGAAAAGTTGTTTTCTTGACCGCCTGTTTGCTTGTTGTTGGCTTCTGAGAAATTTGTGAACTTTTTCATTTGTGAGGACTGTTGACTTTCTTTCTGTGCTTCCGGGGTGAGTTGGCGACTGAAGTGGTTCTACATCGGTCAGTTCGCCTGGATAGTAAACTTCGCTCTCAGCATGTTCACTTTCAACACTCATTTTGAAAAGAACAAAATTTTCCAGCGACAAAATTGTTTTGTCATTAACTCGCATCGAGTTTCTAGTAGGGCCGTACGCATTTCTAGTACGTGTTTTTCCGGCCCTATCACTTCGACGCGTACGGCCCTCATACGGGATCTTTTTTTTCTTATGGCCGGTTTTCCAAGGAAATTGCGCGCAGGACCGTACGGGTCATATGATAATATAAGAATATTCACAAGAATATTTTTAGCCTAAAATCAAAATGAAAATAAGGATGTTCAGCCTCGGTCGGAAAAACAATGTCCTTATAGAAAAGAGTACGGTCATTTTTAATCCGTTGGAAGCGCGACTCCCTTCTTGCAAATACCCGGCAACTCCTTATATACAGTGGCCTAGTGGTATGTCGTGTGCTCTTGTATGAATTAAGATAAAAATACTCAAGTGAATGAATGCACACCGTTGGCTCCCAAAAGAAATTAGGCACCTTAAGCAACAGACGTTTTCGTTGACGACGGCGACGTGACGACCGATAAGAAACTGTGGCTAGAACGGCTTCAGGCTGCGGTCGCGACAGCAAGTTATATCCTTAAAGAAGGATTTCTCGGGCTAGCATCACATATTTTTGTTCTGTCCACTCCATCTACAGGTTGGAGACAAACTATAGTTGAAAAATAACTTGATGGAATTAAACCTTATACTATCCATGTTTTACTAAGAGATGTAAAATCATTGCGAAAAATAACGAAACAATTTAAGTTTATAAACTTTGCCTGCTTTGAAATGTCAAATGTAAAAAGCAAAAAATACTTTCCATGTAAAACGCGTATTGCTAAAGCAATTAATTGCGATTTTTAACCAAAGTTTGTATCACCGCTCATTGAGAAAAAAAAAAGACTTAAAAAAACTTAGACTGCCAAGATTACACACACACACTTTGTTGTGCTAAACATAGATTTTGAACAAAATCTCAGCTCACCGCGTTTTTCATTCGACACAATGATCGGTCGCTCAA